TTCACCCAGCCACAACACCACCACAACCAAATAATTAGTGACAAACACCCCCATACCACTCACCCACCCACCCACCACCGCCACAACCGTCACCGCTGCTGATAAAAATATCTTCAATCAGATGATAAAAATATCAATTTCGTGGCAGCATCTTCTTCATCACTATGGGACATCAATTTCCTGGCATCATCTTCTTCAACCGTCCCTGCGGCATATCTTCTTCATCACTATGGGACATCAATTTCCTGTCAGCATCTTCAATCGGATGATAAAAATATCCTATAACGTCCTTCAATTTCATGTTTCCTGTTCTTACTCTCTGCACTATAAGGGAGATCTTCGTAGATTGCTCTATATTTCTTTCAGCTTCATGTTGCATCTCATACCCCATCAAAGAAAAAAAAAAGATGAACCACCACCGCACAGATCGCAAACCTCTACCGCACAGATCGCGACGCTACCTAAACTACCGCACACCTCATCAAAGAAAAAAAAAAAAGAAAAGACGAACCACTGCACAGATCGCGACGCTGCTGCGACGAACCACCACACAGATTGCGACGCTACTATTCAGAGAAGCATCGACAGGCCTTGCGAGGTCTTCGACGATGGCGGCGAGAAGAAGAGAGAGGCGAGAGATGAGAGAGATTACCAGAGGAGAGAGAACGAGAGGTTAGGGTGAAATGGTGAATGAAGACGTGATAAATGTTTTTTTATTTTAGATTATTAATATTAATTTTTTTAATTATAACCTGATTTTTNTCTATTACTTAGATTTTTACATGGGTCTTTCTAGAATATAATTCTAGAAAATGCTAGACTTTGTTGGGCCTTTGAATTGGGCCTATGAGCAAAATTCTTAAACTCATATTACTTACTCCAAAATCAAGTTTACTTTCCAACAGAAGTTGGTCCATCGAGACAGTGAAAATCACTTGTGAACAGGGATGAGGGCCATGTGAGGAATGAAGAGAATTTTAATGCAAATTCATCAAAAATATTACATATTGATCACATCAACCAGCAGACGAGTCTAGATGTCACCAAGCAAGGACGTGTGAATGTTCAGTACGTGAAGAAAGGGACAGGAGACCCAATTCTAAGCTAAGATTAGAGGAGGGATATGATTTTTAATGGCTGCCTGATGAAAAATCTCCTTCGCAAAAGACTTGTACTGATAAGTTGATCACTAAAGCTGATCACTTGACAAATCAAGGGAAAATGAAGGCAGCACCAGAAAGGTACGGAAGCTTATCTCTACTTGTTGTACTAATATTTCTGTCGATGATTCCATGCTTGATCGTGGGACTGCTTCCGAGATAAAAGATATTAGTGGCAAGTTGGAAGGTCTATCAAAAAGGATTAGTATGCTCAATTTGGTGGAGAATGTAAGGGCGACACGTTACAGAACAGGAGAAAGATTCCAAATAGCTTCGTTTACGGAAGAATCTGAAGTAGTATCGGAAGCCTATTCCCTTTCCTAGATCGGTCTGAAAGTATTTTTATTTTGGAAATTGTTGAAAATAAGATTTAAATACCTAAGTTTATTCTTTACCTAAAAATTTAATCAAGTAGACAGACATAGTATCTACTGATGTAAGATTATAAGATCAAGGCTCGTCGCTGTTTTTGAAAATTAAGTGCGTATTTAGCCTGTAATAAAAATGAATAATTTTTTTGTGATTAGACTCCTATTTACCGGAGATATACTGTTTTATGAATTGCCATAGGAACAAAGCAATAAAGAAATGCCATAAGATATATGAGAAAAAAGATTATGTGGGCAATTTATTTCCATATCCTTCTTCTATAGCTAAATGTGAAGAGTCTAGAGAAATTGCATTATAATTGTTTGTATTCCACCGCCATATGGTTTCTCAAGAAATTTGGAGAACCCAATTCTACCAACCTAAGACAGCTATAACATAGGTTCAGTGATCTTGTAGGAGTGATGAGTGAAGGGAGAGAGGGGAGGAGAAGAGCAAAGGTGCTCACTCCTTCGCAAAAGACTTGTACTGATAAGTATGACTTGATTATCATTTTCGATTTATCTAATTATGTTGAATGGCTAAAAATCAATCATATGGCTCCTTAAATTTGTTGGGGACATAAGTTTGACAATGAGCAAAGATGGATGGCTTTTAATGCAATTAAAAAGGGGCACAACAATAAAATAATGTGGTGGCAATAAAATTACCTATAATCTTTTCGTCTTTCAAGTAGAATTTAGAAATTTTTTTAGATGCATCGCTCATAGTTTCCAGAAAAATGGGAATTTTACTTTTGCTGTACTTCGGTTTATAACAATTGTTATTATCCGACCTATTCATGACCAACTGCCTAGGTCTCCACTGCTCAATCTTCTAAACTCCATTTATACCACCCCCCCCCCACCCCCAACTACCTGTGATGGAAGATTCAGCACAGAAATAGCATATGTATGAGTAGTTAAGAGCAATAGGTTACTGAATAAAATCAGATGAATACATGAAAGTATTTATTTATGATTTGTTGAAAACTAAATTTAAATAAATAATCCTTCCCTCTCTCTTACAATTTTAAGCTTTTGGATGATATGGTTCAAATAATTATGCATGTGAAAGAACTTTGATGTAAATAAGTTTGTCCTGCGTGCGAGGGGCTATGTTCAAGACATGACTTAAATAAAAAATATATTTCTACTCTAGTACTTAACCCTTTATACAAGGTGGTTCCCACGTGATTGTTTATTATATTTGTGATAGTAATATTGCTCCTTTGTTTTGTGTGGTTCTAAAAGAATGTTGCAAGGCTTCAAGAAGCCGCTGCTGGTCAGAGAGAAGTTGGTCAATTTCTACCATCCAAACCACCGTTGAACAAGAACACAACACATCTGATGTGAGGAATAAATGAAAGTATGCAAATTCAACAAAAACATTACACCATTGTGATCAAATCTACAAGCCCATCGATTTAGATGCAACAAAGAAAGTAGCTGAGGATGTCTGCTGTGAAGAAAAGGGATGGGGGATCCAGTTCTCTGCTACAACCAGAGAAGGATATGATCTTCCATGGATGTCAGTTCAACAATCTCATACTACAAAGAGCTGCACAAAGAAAAAGGTATGGCTTAGTTATCGTTGTCTAGAATATTTGATAACATCATTACATGTTTAATTATCCCTATAATTTAATTAAATGAGTAAATATTTTATCTATTGCCACGCAGTTTTGGTCAATAACTAGTGATAAATGCTTGTGAAATCTAATGTAGTAATAATGTTTTCTTACGTTGATCTCTACTTTCCTCTTCTATACAAATATATTACGATGATGTCAAGAAAATGCACATTTGGTAATGGATTAATGGGATTAAAATGTGTTTGGACCCCATTTAGTTATTTGACAAACGTCTGAAACAATAGGTTAGTATTTCCATTCATCAAACGAGAACATGTATGAGGAGCTATAATAGGCACTACAAGAGAACTAATAAAGGGAAAAATATTTACTTTATCCTTGCTATCCAGCTTCCAGGCGAACCAATTACAATAAAAAATAAAATCAGGTACGACAAGAAAAACAGATCCAAAAATAACAATACTAAATACACATCCTATACCATTCCGGGAAATAAAGCTTTTTCCTTGTAACAGTCCCCCTTAAACTGGCGTGTAGATATTCTTCATGCCCAGCTTGTTTATAATTGTATGAAAGGCTTAGCTGGTAGTCTCTTTGATATACACAAGTCCTTTCTCTTTGAGACACTGGGAATGCAAATGAACTCATGTACTTTTTTTCTTTTATGAAGTGTATCCAATTCGATATGTTTGGTTTTCATATTGGACAGGAATGTGGTCTGTATTTATTGCATATTTTTTTTAACAATAGTTTCATTTGTCCTCCCAATTCACACTAACATCTGAGAGGATTATTTTATCCAGGCCCGGCCCTGAGGCGAGGCAAGTGAGGCCGCCGCCTCAGGCCCAAACCTGGAGGGGGCCTCAAATTTTGGCACAAAATTTTTTTTATAACAAACTAGGCCCAACTTGGGGGCCCAATTGTAACCTAAAGTCT